CGAAGAAAGTGTTCGTGTAACAACCCTCCCCTTTTCCCGTTTTCGCCTTCTTATTTTTACACTGTCTTTTTTAACAGAAAAGTATTAAATATGAGCGTACTGCAAGTTTCTGAATTTTACAAGCATTCTATATAGCGACTTGTGATTTCCGGGAACGTCATATTTTCAAGATTTCACAGACCTCTGAAAAAGTTAGAACATACAAGTTTCTTCTACCATTTGCAGAAAAAACAATACCAAATTATATTTGTAAATTGGAAGAGATTAAGAATTATTATAATGTGTATTGTGACGATAATAATAATAAATAGTGTGCGTAAGGTATGGAACGCCACAGCTGTCTTATGTGGAACTCTGATATTACTTTATGTTGTTTTATTATTACTTGATGATATTTTGTCTTGACTTAATATGGTTTTGACATTACGTAATGATGTTTTGATATAACTCAATATGGAATAGTCATTACTTAATGATATTTCGATATTACACGATATGGTTTTGTATTGACTTGATATAGTTTTGTCATTACTCAATATGGTTTTGTCATTACTCGATGTGGTTTCACCATTATTTAATTATTTAATGTGGTTGTGTCATTAGTCAATGTGGTTTTAACATTACTTGATGTGAATGTGACTTAACGTTATGTAGTTGTTTCATTACATGATGTGGTTAGTTATTTCGTAATGATGATTTGCCTATTCTTTATATGGTTTTAACATTACGTAATGATGTTTCAAAATTTGACGATTTTACACTACATGGTGTGTTTGTTTCATTATTTGATGTGGTCCTGTCATTCTTTGATGTGGTCCTGTCATTCTTTGATGTGGTTATCCCATTACTTGATGAGGTAAAACTACGAGACCAATTCGGAAAAATATGTTCTATTTTTAAACAGATTTCAATATATCGTTTGTTTAATGTGCTTTGGATGGGTATCGCTATCCATTGAGTTAAAGTTCAAATTAAAGTTCGAGTGGTTGTTCAGAGTTATTTGGTATGAAAAAGGGGAACGGCAGACAATAATAAGAAAAAAAGTATTAAAAAGTTTACAGTATTTCGGACATAATTGAGATATCCCCAAACCACTTGGTCCTGTTGTTTTTATCCTAAGTTCTCAAACGGAAGCAGTATTTTTGTAATAAATTTGTAAAATATTCCACGGAACCCTGTGTCTCGCCTGATATTGCTGCTGTAAGTATAAAAGCGTCATGTTGATCGGTTGTACATTTATCTACTAGTATAAATTTGTTGGTAAAAAAAAAAAAAAAAAAAAAAAATGTTTTTCTGTAGATGCTTTTTCATGAAATTGAGGAATAACTCCTATACAAGTTTTAAAACACTTCATGGAGGTTTACAAATTTATCATGTCAAAACAGTTTAAATCGGTTTTATTTAACTAAAACAAAACTGTATGGTTTTCAACAATGAGCAAAACCCATACCCTATAGTAAGCTATAAAAGGTCCCGAAATGAAAAATGTAAAAAACTAGAAACCTAACGATCTATAGATAGATAGATAGATAGAGAGATACTTTATTCTCTAAAAACTAAATACAAGTTTACAGAGAAACATACAATATAAATACAGATACAATAGTCGAGGTAAACAAATACAGTATGATATTCTAAAAGTACAAAATTATGATGGCATACATGTTTAGTAACATGTATAATGAAAGGTTAAACTCAATAGAAATAAAAAAATGGAGATGGAGACGCCGACGCCACTATCGACGACGAAATATAGGTTTGTTGTGTCTCACTGCCGCTACATTGATATTGCAGGCTCGACACAAATCAAAAGACTTGAACTTTATTGTTAACAAATGAAACACTTCAAATCAACTCACACTAAAGTTACAGGGAAACGGGGGGAGGGGGGCTCGGACTAAGCGATCAAGCATCAATACTATAAAATAAGAATTCTCCGAATTTTTTTTAGCGTAAATGATCATTTGAACTTATACGAATATCAATCTTTTATTTGTAATCAATTGAATTCCCTGATCTACCTCGCACTAATTGAAAAATAAACTTTTTGGAATATCTCTTTCACATATGACGACGGACATGTTCCAGTGGTCGTAACCATAATACCGTCATCTTTTCCTTGAATGTAAACTACCAAATAAAACCAAATCACTGGGTTTGTACTTTCTCAAATAACACGACGGGTGCCTTTCTGGAGCATCCGAGATCACCCCGATGGATTTATATTACCCAGTCATACCGATCTATTAAATCAGCCAAATGAAACTCTTTTGTATGCCACCGCAACTGAAAGTTGGGGGGCATTTTGTTTTACCCCTGTCCGTCCGTCCGTCCGTCCGTCCGTCCGTCCGTCCCATTATGGGTATATACATTTTGTAGTTATTCCGCATAACTCCTCCTACAGTTTGAATCCTGGGAAGTTTTCTCTTTACTGTCTGTTTGTACATATATTGAAGGTGTGCATGTGGTCAGGGTTTTTATTTTTATTATCTTTTGCTCTTTTGGGAGATAATTGAACTTTTTTTTTGTCATTTTTGGGGTATAAGCGGTTAAATGAGTTGAGTGCGGGGCATCACTTTGTCTAGTTTACATTTTGTTTTCTCGTGTTGTGCTGTTACACAACTGTAACAGTCCGATGTAAGGTTAGGATTTAGCGCTCACATACATGTAAAATGCCGCCACGTGCACTTTCTTTATGTACCTGCCCCAAGTCAGGAGCATGAAGTTCAATTGTTGTCGTTGTATAAATGTGTGTCATTTTTTTTTTGTAGATTGTTTATTTAAAAATAAGACCGTTTGTTTTTACGTTTGAATTTTTTCACATGGTGCATGGTGGCCTTTTGTAGCTGACTATACGGTGTGTTGAAGGCTGTACGGTTGCCTATATATGATTTCTTACATCCACTGCATTTAAACTCTGGTGGATAGTTGTCTCATTGTCAATCACACCACATCTAACTTTATTTCAACTTCTATGTTGCATTTTGTATACTGTAACATTGGTTATCTTTTGTACGCATACCCCGGAGCCCTCTTTTTGGAAGCCCGAGCAAAAGTCCTTGTTCCGCGATAGAAAATTTAATTACGAACTCATATAAGATAGCTCGAATTTCAACTCAAAATCTTAATTAATCTAAATGAGACTTAAATTCGAATCTTACTCAAACTCTACCTCAAAAAGTGACTCAAATTTAATGTTGTAACTAGAACTCTACCTTTAAATGTGACTCAAACTCGAAGTCCAACTCGAAACTCAATGCTAATTAAAACTTTAATTCTAATAATGACTTGAATTCGAAATCGAAGACTAACTCAAAGTTTAACTCAAACAGTAACCCGAACTTTGAACTCTAATTCGATGGATGGCCACACTAATCCAAGGCACATACAACATGTAAATCTATCTAAAAATAGAACAGGTTTTTTCCGAACTAGTCACGTGATTTTACCTCATCAAGTAATGGGATAACCACATCAAAGAATGACAGGACCACTTCAAATAATGAAACAAACACATCATGTAGTGTAAAATCGTCAAATTTTGAAACATCATTACGTAATGTTAAAACCATATAAAGAATAGGCAAATCATCATTACAAAATAACAAAACCACATCATGTAATGAAACAACTACATAACGTCAAGTCACATTCACATCAAGTAATGTTAAAACCACATTGACTAATGACACAACCACATTAAATAATGGTGAAACCACATCGAGTAATGACAAAACCATATTGAGTAATGACAAAACTATATCAAGTCAATACGAAACCATATCGTGTAATATCGAAATATCATTAAGTAATGACTATTCCATATTGAGTTATATCAAAACATCATTACGTAATGTCAAAACCATATTAAGTAAAGACAAAATATCATCAAGTAATAATAAAACAACATAAAGTTATATCAGAGTTCCACATAAGACAGCTGTGGCGTTCCATAGTAAGGTATCTTATCGTGATAGTGCCCCATTCAAAATTTGGCATTTGAACCCCAGATGTTTGTTTAATTTAGTATTGTTGTGGGAATATGCGACTATCAAGTTTACGGATTCGTATATATATACGAATATATATTCCTAAGTGAAAATGGCTTCGTTTTATGAAAAAAAAGTTTTTGAGACGAAAAGCCATTTTACACCGCGTTAACTTACCACGGATTTATACGAAAAGGACCAGATTTTGTTAGTTTATTTATTTGTTTAGTTTGTGTGCTGTTGTTTGTAATACTTATGATGGTCTTTCCTGAAAAATATAAAAGACATCAAGTAAACCTCTTTTAAACTTTATAACTTTACAATTTTCAGATGTCATCTTATCTATGCTTATGTCCTACAACTGTTCTATTCCTTGTAATAATACGTACCTGTTTCAACTCTAGTAGCTGGTAGTATTTGCCTCTAGCATGATTTCTTCCATATATCTGCGGTCATTTGGAAAGATATTTCTAGAAAAAAAATCATGGTTGCGTAGGAAAATGAGCAACATTTAGAAGTACCTAGGGCATACAGATTAATCTGAAGGTCCCTTGTCTCTACGACTTCCAGTTCTCGAAATATAATTTTTCAAAATTGTGCATATTATTTCAAGGGAAATAACTCGCATCAGGGTTGATAACAAAATAATTGTTTATGTTTGTTAGCATTGCCATCTTTTCCTGTAATGTTGTCATTTTAAGATCGATTCTATCTGTAACAATGTTTAAGATATATGCAAATAAAAGAAATTGGTTCAAGGGGATATAACTCTAAAATGATGAAATCCTACGCAGGGTAATCTAGTAATATTTCATAAGATGTACCTATATATTATGCACAGTGAAACTAGCGCTCATCAGCATGTCGTGCTGTGAGACAAGAGAAGATTAAGGGAATATATAACTTTACCAAGCACTCAGGGTTTCGCTCGTAACTAGTAACAAGCATAAGCTCACACATAAAACAAAGAGCTTACCAATTCAAAATTAAATCGAGTACAAAAAAAATGTATAAACAACAGCGATAATATATTTTAAGCAAAACTACAAAATCAAAAAAAAATTTAATATACAAAATGAATATATTAAAAAAGTATAAAACAATCGATGAATATGTGATTCTCTCCTTAGGACAGGTACAATGCTAGACGGTATATGAAACAAGTTTACGATACATGTTATCCCCCTTTTTAAAGGTAAAATGTCAGTCGCATACATAATAAATGCAGGTAAAAAGATAGAGAAATGTTTTATGTCTTTTTCTTTCACATAACTGCACATTCTTCTTCTCCTCCCTTTTTTCCTGATGCCTTTTTGGGGTTCAAGGAATTCCCGAGACCCATTAAAAGTGATGACATTGTTCCTTGTAATGTTTCCATCATTCCCGGGATAAGTTTGCTAAAATCGGCCTCCTGATAGTACTCTTTCTACAAAACAAAACAAAATTCATTGAGATTTTTTCGTGTAGTCATGACATATTTTTTTCTCTAGTCTTCCCAATAACTAACTTTCAAAAGATACTGATTCAATCGTGATTTATTTGTTTGAATATCTCCTTTTGAAGAATAAATTCGTCAACTTCTGTAATCCATCTGTAAGCTTAGTTAAAAGCATGAAAACAACAATTTATAAATTTCATGCGTCCGAAGCGATTTTCTGGATTTACCTTCATCAAGAACACACAAAGCCGATTATTTGAAAGCCAAGGATGACATAAGAACTGAAACAGTCGGAGAGCTATATGACCAAAAAGGACATAAAATAATAAACAAATATATCTTAAGCCAACTTTGTCTGAGGGAGTTGAAACCCTACTTTCTTAATAAATTATAAATTACTAAACGGATAATTTTAGAAAGGTTTATTATAAATCATGAGCTGATGATTCCATCGGAGACTGATAGTCCACAAGCCGCTGTAAAAAATGAAAACAACACTTTTATAAATTTCATGCGTCCAAGGTGCTTTTCTGGATTTACCTTCATCAGGGACACTCAAGGCCGAATATTTGAAAGACAACGATGTATAAGAACGGAATTCAAGTTTTAAAGTAGTTTGCCCTAGTAGCTAAGATTGAAATACTAATGCATATGAAACATGCTCTTATATTGCTTCCTTACTGATCAATTGTAACACTCACATCGATGTCACATGCACATTTTTGTCTTGTGCGATTACGACATTTTGGTTGTTCTTATTATTTTTATTTGGTTTTGATGCCAACAGAAGTGTCATGTGTTTGGCTTCCCATCCTTTTGTTAACGACCTCTATAGCTAGCGTACCGGAAGGATATTCCATGTGCTGTGCGCATATGCGTTAAAAATGAAAACGGTACAACTTCAAGAGAAACGAAACAGATATATACGGTTCCTCTGACTGTAATATTGTGTTATAAAATTTCTCCTTTATATATTGTTTCATCATTTAATTCCTATGGTAATTCATAGGCCAAATATTGCATCGTATTTGCACGAAATAATTCTTTATGGTATGTAATTGAACAAACAAGGCATTTATTTTACTTACAGATTTTGTTTCAACTTCAGGTGGCAAATCTCCCAGATCGTCGAATGCGGCATTGAGTTCTAAAATTTTCATATTCCTTGCTTCTTTGATTTTACGTGTTTCACCTTCTTTCTCTTGATCATACAACATTAATATGCGTTTAATGATCTTTAACTGTTTTTCTCTTTTTTGTATTTCTTGCGTAGTAACTGTGTGTCTGTTTTCTGCAATCCATTCTTCGAGCTAAGAAAGGATAACATAAATTGTGTATTACAATACCATTGTATAACTTACATTCAGAATGCCCTGGCTATATAATTTGCAATTTTGATTCCTGTCTGAACATGATATGAATATGTGGCCTTATTAGCTATTGAAAATGTTTAAACTAGACAGTATTGAAAACAACTGACTCAGAATTTGTTCTTACATTTTTATTTCATATATTTTTGAAATCTTGTACATTAACTTCCGAAAATTAATCTTATCCGTAGTTACCTACTTACATTGGAAGACTAAACCTTATAATATTCCTATATTTTTTCTTTTAACATAAAAGTTTTCAAGTTCAATATATCATAGTAATATTATACCACTACAAAAGATAAGAAGCGTGTGATGCCACCGATGACTTGAAAATAGAAACATATCATATGGAGTTCATCCATCGTGCTAAATAGGTGCTTTTGTCGGTGTGAGTGGTAAAAAAACAGAATAATCCAGTAAGATGTGTGACGTTAAATCAGATGCCTCGTCGAGGAAGAGTTCCTTGCGGTCTAAATGTTAAAGATACATTGCAACAACTATTTAAAGGGGTTCGTAGTTGGCCTTTTGCAAGGTAAAGTTTCTGCCCCTATTCAATATTCCTTCTACAATAAGTGGCAGTACAAATTTCCCGTCCTTCATTCCGGTCGAACCACTTTGTCGTGATTTTGTTTTTGTCCTGTAAATGCACGTTACATATGCGACTGGAGGTCGAGCAAACAACATCTTTTTTTAATTTAATCGTTTGATGAACATTGTGGATTCAAAACAAAACTTTAGAATTGTTAACTACTGTTATCCGTTAGACATACAGTGTTTATGAGTAGGAGCAGAGATTGGTTGAATAGAGTGATATATATTTCTGCGGACTGTTAATGTGTAAGCTAGCACATTTGAATTCGACTTAGGGTTTCAGTCTAGTAAGATTCAGCGTATGATATAGGTAAACAGCATGTTATCGTCCCGAATATTCATGTGATATTTTACGGTGAACGTTAAATTCAAGTCAGCGTTTCACCCAAGAACTAAGCAGTGTATTTTATATATAAAGAAAGTTATAATTCAGAATATGCATGTAATATGTGCTACCGGACAATAAGCTATCCTCATTTAATCATTCAATTTAGTTGAAAATGTGAAGTCCATAACACAGAGTTGAAAGTTTATTTTTTTCTACTGTTAGGGTTATTACTAGCCAAACACTGACGAAAAGAGATTAATTTGATTAGAAATTAAAATTTAGAATTTGCGTATTTATCAACTTAATATGATTATTCAATACTATTTCATGCAAGTCTTTTTAAAGCCATATAGCTGGAAGTCTAATGGTTTAGTCCTACAAGATATCTCTTACGCCACCGTCCAAAAGTTTCAGTAAATTACGTCCTCTTTATTATTAAAAAAATATTTTTTTAAAAAGTTTGAGCAAAAAATTATTGTTTTCTTCTGAAGAATAAAATAAGTAATAATAAATCTGGCGTCAAAGTCAGTTCAAGGGACAAAAAGGCAGGGAAATAATTACTTATGAAATTGTATTAAAAAAATTAGAATCTTACTGCTTCTGCATTAGCTTTGTATGGTGCGTACATCAAATTCTTATTGACCATACTCGTCATCAAAGGGATAACTTCTGGAGGTGTGTCTTTGTCCACTGAAAAAACAGGAAAGTTTCAATGAAGACCTTTCATGATTGGCTTTTTGTACTGTTATCCACTAGAAATGACTTTGGAATTGCAGGACAGGCATCGCATACATGACAGTAGACACTTACCCTGTCATTGAACACAGTGTTTTGGATTTATGCAATATCATTTGTATTAAGTCTCATGGTTGCTTGGAACTGAATTAGGAATTATATCAGTTATCATTTCAATATTTACAAAAAATGAATTCCGTTTTGTATTTCAACTACCATGCAATGGCTAAGCCAGTCAATTAAATCATGTGATTGTTTGTCATCGAGCTTACCTAAATAATGACCACACGTTAGAATACGATTCAAAAGTGTCATGCTTCAACTGTTGATTCATGTCTTACCAACTTCCAATTGATGTATACTCCATATTTCCTTTTGCCCACAAAAGGGGGGGGGGGGGTTGAACGTTCCCATTGAAAGTAAAAATAAAGGCGCTTCGGATGCACAAAATTGAAAAAGTGCTATTTTCGTTTTGAAGTTGGTTGCTGTCTGCCATAAATGTTTCGTTTATTATAATAAGCAGAAAGTAGGACGTTGATTTTATCTTTTGAATTTATATTTTGAACAAACGGTAATAGATGGCATATGTTACCTTTGGGTTTGCCTCCAACCGTTGTAGTTAAATTTATTTTTCCAGAAGGACCTGCCAAACCACCGAAAAGTTTTCCAAAATCGCCATCGAAATCTTCATCAGAGTCATCCGCGTCATCGTCAACTTGTGAATCCGTCTTCTTGTCGCTTTTTTTCTCTTTTTCTTCACTTTTTTTGTCATCGTCATCACTGAGTAACTGCTTGTCTTGGAATATTCTGAAAGCTCCAGCTGTTAATTTATTTGTCCGAGAAAATGATGGCTATAATTGAATATAGAATGACATAAATGCTAACTTCTGGTGTCATTTGGTCTCTGGTTGAGAGTTGTCTGATTTGGATATCATACCACATCTTATTTTCATATTACTAGTAGTATACCAACACAATATGACAATATAGACAAATATGCGTAGGTTTCAGATATTATTCATGTATAAAGTTACACACTATTTTTGAAAGACAACGTTGTCCATGTATTCAGATTACACACTAATTTTGAAAGAAAAAACAACTTTATATAATATTTTTTACCAATAGTATTAGACTTTAGATATAACAGATATTACAACTTGGACTTCTACAATATTAGAGCATTCTTTGAAACTCGAAAGTCCGCTCTAAGTGCAAGTCATCGATCTACATTATAACTCAATTTGTATTAAAAATGAGTTACTTTGTAAGAATATAGTAACATGATGTTGCTCGCTCTGCAAACACACAGTTATAAATACTTGCATTCTCCGCATTCTCTGCCGCCGTTTTCTGCCATGTCCTTATCCTTTTGATTTGTTTTTTAGATAGTCTTAAATGATCTGAAAGAGGAATAGCAATTGTCTTCGTATTTATTTCATCCAAAGAGTCAACATTAGAGGTACCGGGTTTTTTTTTTAAGTTTTACAATCGTCCAAAATCAAAACGATATTGAGTACCAGTATACATATTCAATGTTTGTAAAACAAATTTGACAATTGTACGAATTGTACATTTTTTAACACAACCTTCGACTTGATTCAAGCAAAGTTGTGATGTTTTGATTGTTAGATAAGATTTAAAGAATTATAGTTTATGAAAAAAATGCAATGGTAATTGACCTTGGTTTTTAATTGTGATGGAAAAGACGGGAAACATAACTTCATGACACAAATTCCAACACATAATTGAAAAAAAAATGTAAATGTTATTACAAAGGCACTTTTATCTTTTGTCTTAAATACTAACATGATTAATTCGTTGTAAAATTCATTAGAAAAGCTGAAGCCGCTATGGACTGCTTGTTATGATTGAATATTTTCCTACGACGATCAACAGAAAAATTTAAATCTACGCAAATTACAGAAGGCATTGTGTCATATATTTCCGCAACATTCTTTACTTCAAAAAGAAATTACACAAGTATAGGAGACGATTGACACGTCGCTGAGACATCACATATAACAACAGAATAATAGATAAGTATGTTTATATATAAAATAAGCAAAATGATAACTAACATTTTCATATTGACATCTTTCATGTCAAGTCAAATGTAGAGCAGGATCTGCTTACCTCTCCGGGGCGCCTGAGATCACCGCCGGGTTTTGTTAGGGTTCGTGTTGTTTAATCTTTATATTTCTATGCTGTGTTTTGTAGACTGTTGTTTAATCTTTAGATTTCTATGTTGTGTTTTGTAGACTGTTGTTTAATCTTTAGATTTCTATGCTGTGTTTTGTAGACTGTTGTTTAATCTTTAGATTTCTATGCTGTGTTTTGTAGACTGTTGTTTAATCTTTATATTTCTATCCTGTGTTTTGTAGACTGTTGTTTAATCTTTAGATTTCTATCCTGTGTTTTGTAGACTGTTGTTTAATCTTAAGATTTCTATGCTGTGTTTTGTAGACTGTTGTTTAATCTTTAGATTTCTATGCTGTGTTTTGTAGAATGTTGTTTAATCTTTATATTTCTATGCTGTGTTTTGTAGACTGTTGTTCAATCTTTATATTTCTATGCTGTGTTTTGTAGACTGTTGTTTAATCTTTATATTTCTATGCTGTGTTTTGTAGACTGTTGTTTAATCTTTATATTTCTATGCTGTGTTTTATAGACTGTAGTTTAATCTTTATATTTCTATGCTGTGTTTTATAGACTGTTGTTTAATCTTTATATTTCTATCCTGTGTTTTGTAGACTGTTGTTTAATCTTTATATTTCTATGCTGTGTTTTACAGACTGTTGTTTAATCTTTATATTTCTATGCTGTGTTTTGTAGACTGTTGTTTAATCTTTAGATTTCTATGCTGTGTTTTGTAGACTGTTGTTTAATCTTTAGATTTCTATGTTGTGTTTTGTAGACTGTTGTTTAATCTTTAGATTTCTATGCTGTGTTTTGTAGACTGTTGTTTAATCTTTAGATTTCTATCCTGTGTTTTGTAGACTGTTGTTTAATCTTTAGATTTCTATGCTGTGTTTTGTAGACTGTTGTTTAATCTTTAGATTTCTATGTTGTGTTTTGTAGTCTGTTATTTTCGACTAATGAGTTTGACTATCTTTTTGATATCTTCCGCCTCTCTTTTGCGAAATATTTGAAATAATTGCATGCGTAGTCATTTTACTCTTCAAATTTCACTTTTTAAAATAGGGTTTAAACCAAGGATTTGTATAGTGAGAAACAGTCATCAAAATAACAACAACAAAAGCACCTTTCACTATATAATTTGAAAAGTTCAAGTATCAAACATAGTTATTTCATATTATCAAAGTTTTTTAACACAATTCCTAATTTTGAAGGAGGAGATTGAACTCAAAGTTGGGGTTTGGACAGCCTTTTTGAGCAGGATTATGACGATGACCAGGAGAGAAAATGCATAGTCAATTTTGTTGCAAATAATGTGTATTGTAACGATGTTTACTGATTTCTTAATCAGAACTGACATAAACTTACATATAAAAGTATCATTATCATGCAAATATATATATTATACTCACAACATATTGACTTTAATCTTGAAGTGACACGGATTCAACGGGTAATGGATGTCTTAAAACGATAAACGAGATGCATCACGGTTAATCTCGCCAAAATCTCATCATACGCAGCTTTTTATATACAATCTATGCAAACTGCCCGCGAGATTCCAATCCTTCTCACTATACAAATCATTAGCATTAGGCAAACCAAAGAAGAAAGTAAATAACATATACTCTAGGCGAATGTAAAAAGGTTATTTTCATATATCCTTTAATAAGGTCTTTTGATGCCACAATTCATCTTACACATAAATGAAAACTTGGTACAACTTACTGAATATCAACAAATCTTCTATTAGTTTTAATAAGTGGATACAATAAAATATCAAATGTTACCAGCCAATTGTTAACGTTAATAGCTGTCTATAGGTGTATTACTTTACCGTACTTTACTGAGGGTCTGGAAGGGGTTTACAGAATAGAGAAAAATGGGCCAATACTCCAGAAAAATGGGTTGAAAAATAAAGAATAGAGAAAAAAAGGCATAAAACAGAAAGAATAGAGAATAATGGGCAAAGGTATCAAGAATAAAGAAGAGTAACTAATGAAGAATACAGAAACGAAGGACCCCTATCCAGACCCTCTTTACTGTAGAAGATTATACAATTTTACAATTTAACTATACGCTTCGTGTGATTTTTGAACGGACCATACTATTTACAAACCTGGTAAGTCTGTTGGCCTCTTAAAATTTGGAAATGCTGACAAAACTTCAAGCATTTTCGATGCCTGATTTGGGTTGAGTGTTATTCGTACGTCTACAAAATAAAAAAATAAAAAAATCAGATGATTCAATCGGGTAGATATTCTGTACAATATCTCTGTCAGGGCACAAATGTAACGTCACGTGATGAGTGTGATACTTTTATCTTGTTAATAGTGCAACAACAATTCAAATAACAGATTCATGAGCATTGATATACACACAAACCATTGGAAACATAATAAGGGGGACCTAACAGAACAGACATACATTTGTTTTAAATTTTCATTACTGGCGTGGCTTCTATAGACGAAGGGGCATATGTTAGTTCACTAGTTGATACAGTTTCTTCAGGTTTAGTTTTGTTTTATATGTATCTGTGTTTAGTTTTTTGTGTGTGTGTGTATTTATCGGTATTATAGGCCGAACGGTGACGACCCATAGTTGCTAACTTCTACAGCATTAAAATGTTGTGGAGAGTTGTCTCATACCATGCACATCTTATTTTTATATTATAGATTTACTCCGGTCTTCAGTCAGGACCTGTTAGTCAAATGCTTTTTGTTAAAATATACTTTTTCACTTTTTTGGTCTTTTGGAAAATGCTGTTTGTGCTGTATTTAGACCCCTCTACCAAGAAATTTGTTTTGCATGCACACGTATAAAAATTACGGTTTTTATCCAACGTAATCATAGGTTTGAACGCTGTTTTCAATTTAGACTTGTTTATATTTTTTTCGTCTGGGCTTGTATTGTATTTTCCTTCGGGTTTATATGATCCGTTCATCCTATTTCGACTCTTCAAAGTTCAAGAGTCTATCCTTAATTGAGGAAAATTATATGGCTTTCCAAATACCGTTTCGATCCCTAACATCACTAAAGAGACATTAATTGTCGAAATCCAGATATGGTGTACAAATTTTTGCACCTCATGTTTGCGGTATACCAACTTTTCCGCAAGTTTATTGTTTTCTGTTTGGTATTAAATTAATAATTAAGATCCAGTTTGTTAGGTCTGGTAATCCGTGTATTTTGCAATCGCCATGGCAGTCAGCAGGATTTTAGAACATCCGTTGTTCGACTTGTTAGTCAAATGCGTTTTGTTAAAATATACTTTTTCACTTTTTTGGTCTTTTGGAAAATGTTGTTTGTACTGTATTTAGACCCCTCTACCAAGAAATTTGTTTTGCATGCACACGTCTAAAAATTGCGGTTTTTATCCAACGCAATCAAAGGTTTGAACGTTGTTTTCAATTAAGACTTGTTTATATATATATATATATCACGGTAGGTATAGTGTCCGTCTGGGATCGTGGTTTTCGAGTGATTTGATCGGGTTTTTTCAAGTGTGACCACTTTTTTCGAGTGAATATGATAAAAAATGTAAACAAACAGACTTCCTTTCTGGTTATAAATGTAAAAAATATGCTAGATCCTTATATACAAGATCATAGAAGGTAGATTAGTATTTTTGATAAAAAGATATTATCAACCCCACATTATTTTGTTAAGTTAAAAACGTTTAATTTTGCCTTACGATACTTTATTCCAAAATATAGATTAATTAAAAAAAAAGAAGATGTGGTATGATTGCCAATGAGACAATTCTTCACAAGAGACCAAATGACACAGAAATTAACAACTATAGGTGACCGTACGGCCTTCAACAATGAGCAAAGCCCATACCGCATAGTCAGTTATAAAAGGCCTCGAAATGACATGTATATTGTTTTTTTCTGATTGTTTACTCCTTTTCCTTAGTTTTTTTGCTCCTATGTTTTTTCAGCACAGTACTATATATCAATCATAAAATATTATTGACTGTAAAAAAAAGGTAGCATGCAATGGAATTAAAAAGATTATGAGTCCCTGTACTCGATTTTAAGACCGTTTTAAAAAGGACCCATTGATTTCTTATATATCGTAGTACTGCAAGGTTATGGTAAAATGTTTTCAGAACGAAAAGCTATCATTAAATTGAAAATGGTTAAATTTGATCAACATAGCAATCTGTTTTTGTGACTTACGAAGAATAAAACTATATATTACTGTCCTTCGATAAACTACAGTTACAAACTAGAAAAAGTCAGTTTTTAAGCCGAATAATGTCTTTTTTCTTATTCACATTTTCTACAAAAATTCCGGACCATTTGTTGAAAAACCCGGACGCGTTTTAAAAGTTGCTCTCGAAAAAAACACGTTCAATATAAAACACTATATTGTAAGTGAACTACAAGGAAATTCTATGTCGTTTGTTTTCAAAACATGTATAGCTTTAGAATAAGATGAACAGTCACGAATAAAACTATAATACTCGCGAAATAGCAGTTAATCGATCTGATCGCATGTAAATTCACTCGAAAAAACCTGATTTACACTCGAAAAAGTTTGACTTGAAAAAAAACACGATCTCCGTCGGACACTACACCTACCGTGTATATATATATTTACTTCCCTTGTCCAATAGTAAAACCCATGCTAATTGTGCTTCGGAATCCGTTTTACGTTTCCTCTTGATGTATAAATACCTATATTACGCGGTTTCACTTACAAAATGTTCAAGAGAAATAAATTATCAGTTACTACATATTACACATATTAAGATTGCACACTTGTGATTCCAACTGTTATACTGAGTTGAGCAATCGTATTTCCTGAATTTAGCAACCCGACTCAAGAGTTCTGAAAACAGTTGGATACAGAATATTATCACCATAATAACTGCAGACTAAAGTTTAATGGAGTATTTTGTCTTATAAGTTTTATGCATTTATAAGACAAAATCGAATGATAACATTCAAAATTGGCGCCACAAGTTTTGCAATTTTCACAATTTTTACCTGTACATTAACATGATAATTACAATATAAATACCTTATAACGGTGTAGAAATAAGTATTTACAAACCGTGCCCATTCAAGTTATACATATTGTAATTTTATCAGTATATGTATTTCATACGATAAATTATCAATTTTAATATTTGCATGGTTTAAAAATGGACCATAACTATTTTGATATATATTTTATTTCTTACTTACCTGACATGTTGAAATTGTTGATATCGATTAGGGATTGTTTGTGTCGATACTAAATCATGGAGACTTTTAATAGACAATAATTAACTGGGTCACCAGCGTTTTCAGTATTATGAATTTAAATAACAAAAATCAATAAATAAGCAATGACGTAAATTGTATTTTAAGTCGGCATATTTGTACATTATAACAAATCAGAACATGACCTCTGTGAAGATCTTTAAACGACTAACACATTATAATCACGCAGTATCAAATATAAGCAAACCCTATCGAATTTGGTTTTTGTGAACCTCAACACTCAATGCCCATTAGGCCAGCGCCTTTCTGTACACCGACTCAGTGGATAATACGTTGTGCACGATGTTCCTACAACACGACGTTACACCAAAAATGGGACGTCAAAGAGTGTTTTCTGAAATTTTGACGTCGATTAATAAAATTTGTTAGTTTCATTCGTTTTTTACATCGCGATGACCTTGAGGTCACTCCGATGTATTGCTATCGCCTAGATTTCCATTATGTAAATTAGTTTTGGGTTTGTAACCGATCTATAAACATGATAAATATGCGCACATAAACGAGTGCAAAATAACATTCCTTGTCATTTGATATAAATACATCTCTTCAATGAATACTGATAAAAATATTTTTGTTTACAACATAAATTAATAATGTGAAAATGTTTTGTAGTTAGATATATATATATAAGTAAAAAATCATTGATAATATCAATGCACACGTACCGAAAAATTGTGTTAAAGCATGCGGAAGAATATCTCAAAGAACGTTTTGCGACAGGACCGGTAACTCTGTAATTGTTTTTGCGGGAAAATATGAATGCCTACTCGTATCCAATCTTAGAAAAATCGAATTTTTACAGAAAAGTGTCCACCATGCACTTGCATTGCACTATTATTAGAACAGTAGAATAGAATGATATACAAACGGATGCAAATCATATATATATAACTGTTATTTAAATATAATATATAACAACAAATCAGTGTATACTGATTTGTATCACTACAATATAATAGTATTACGGTGAAGTTGAATTTCCTGTCATTTATTTATCATACTCGCACGCACCTTTCTAGAAAAAAATATATCTCTGTACATTAACCTCAGTTTCAGGTAAAGAGATATGTTGTTTTTTTTCTGAGACAAGTGCTTTTGACCATCCTCAAGAACTTGTGGTCATCCGATGTTCAGTACTTCAGTACTTTGATTTTATATGTTATGGGTTGATTCTGTCTCTGTTATTTTTGTGATGTATTTTTACCATGAATTACCTCAAGTTGTAGAAATCGGTTACAGTGTTTACCCTTAATTCCCCTTAAAATGTTGTATTGTCGTAGGTGTAGGAAGGCAAAATGGGACGGAATTATTAAATATACAGCTTTCCATAAATAAATTAAAAGCTAATTTTAGAAGCACAAAACTTTAATCACAGGCTGCTAAAATTTTATGGTGCATATTTAGAAATTTTTAATTGATGTTTATATAAGAGTGTTTTCTGAAATTTTGACGTCGATTAATAAAATTTGTTAGTTTCATTCGTTTTTTTATATGTTATGGGTTGATTCTGTCTCTGTTATTTTTGTGATGTATTTTTACCATGAATTACCTCAAGTTGTAGAAATCGGTTACAGTGTTTACCCTTAATTCCCCTTAAAATGTTGTATTGTCGTAGGTGTAGGAAGGCAAAATGGGACGGAATTATTAAATATACAGCTTTCCATAAATAAATTAAAAGCTAATTTTAGAAGCACAAAACTTTAATCACAGGCTGCTAAAATTTTATGGTGCATATTTAGAAATTTTTAATTGATGTTTATATTAGTGTTTCATGTTCTGTCCGACTCGGCTTCTGTCAAAAATCCATTATTTATTTAGGTGGACGATACACATTTTATTACTAGATTTATGATGTCTGTGGTCGAGACGGCAATGTTTTCTTAACCGTCTCATGAACTTGGTGCACGTGTTAATTTTCAATCTTTGTCAGGATTATTCAGTCAGTTGCATTAATTACCTAGTAGCAGTAGCAGTGCAAAAAAATTCAAATCAAATTTTTCGGTTATTTCATAACTATTCTTACAATGCCAACATAACTATACGAATTACGACAGTATACTTATTGTGTTTATATTATACACCCGCAACATTTTCAACAAGAGGTATGAAGATTTAGAATTATACTCGATATTTGACACTTTAGATTGTGTCGAAACGGATCCGGATGGGAATAAATGCTTTATTTTGCAATTTGTGAGATTACATTTACTTGGAAATGAGTAGGCTGATTACTAGTGATGTGTTCTATTAGACGCTACGGAATTATTTGTTCATATAGAAATGGATGCTAAATTTCAAATGGTAACAACTATGTATATAAATATATCTAGTATACAACACTAAACGTACGTCAGAATTTTTCACGTTTGTTATTTACGCTTGCGTTTCTGTCAATGCCGATATTTTCTGCTAATGACTCGGAGTGGATATTGGCTTACAGATAAGATTGCACTGGTATACCAACATTTTTAGACGTCTCTTGAGAATCTGGTACAAATTTATCTTCTAGACAGGTCAGTTTATAGATTTTTCATTGATTCTGAAAGCTATCGTTAAAATAGATATTTTTAAATGATTAATATCGATAGACATGTCATCTCATTTCATATTTTGGTCATACAACAAATTATGCGTGCAGTTTGAAACTGACGAGCAGCAATTTAGCATGATCATTTGAATTATCTACACATTCACTCGATATAAGATCTACAGAAGAGAATTTATTGCGCCTAATTGAGTTCACGATGTTGTATATATATTTTCGACATTCATAGAACGTACGCTTGTAGGCAAGAGACAGAAACAATTACTTTCTATTTATTTATATATACATATATATATCTTTTATTTTTAAAGAATTGTTGTGTTACACAAGGTTCGCAAGTGCATAGGTTCATCTTGAATGTGAAATGTTCTATTTAATATTTGTTTTATCATTGACATGTTTATGGTGATCACCTGATTTAGCACGTGCACATAGACTTCAGATTTTGTATACCATGTACATATGGAACTATGACTACAGAGATGTTACACCAGGTTGTATTTAGTAAACGTTACACTATACTCTTATAGATCATGATACATTATTATTGTTAACACTCAACAAGACTACGTTCTGCATTGAGGCTCTTACTTGACACTATGCTACGGATTCACAAGAATCATGAGAATGAGAGTAAAATCATCGGACTACAACACATTTATTATATGGTACTAGATGATGCCCGCGAAATCGCGGTACAATTGGGCAAGCCACGGGGTTCTTCCTATGCATTGGTTTAAAAATGCAATTTCACATTTACAATTTTACAAATGTATGTTCATACATGTATATATACACTTTACCAAATTTACATAGTTAAGCAGATACATGTCCATTCGCTGTAACTATTCATACTCGACTCTCCCGCATGTCATATATTATATTCACTTCATGAAAGTTTTCGACACTTTCTACATGTAACACCCATCAAATATCATTTACCTCTAGTCCACAAAACTACTTGTACATTAAACTAACAGTCATTAAGACTGTCTGTTATAGTTCATCAAACAATTAACCTTCAAGTATTCAACAACGACGACCTTATCAATTTACCTACGTAAATCTGTTTACAGATTAGGAAAATTAACGAAATTAAGGTTCCATGACACAATGAATGATAGACAAGTCATGCAACTTAACGTTTTATCCTAATATATATACATTTGTCCCCGACAACGATTACATACTATGAGCAAGTAGAAAAGGATATGGTATATATCAATTCATAACACAATATCACAATATGCTTTTATTGCCGTCCTTTATCTCAAGTCACACTGACACTTCAACATAGGGCAAACATCTAACTCATCACAAGTTCAGATGTCACGATACAGTAATAGTTGGATTGATTGAAACTATTATTTTACTACTTACTAGTAGTTGGTTTTTTTTTTTTTTTTTTTTTTTTTTTTTTTGTAATTTGGTTGATTATTACTTAGTAAGGTTTAGTATGTTAAATGATACCAGATATTGTGCACACAGTTACATTCGTTTTTTCTTTATTTCATATTTGGAATATGGAGGAGAAGCTCTTTATCTGTTGTTCATTCAACCAATTGGATATAAGTGATACTTATAGCGTATTTATGTGAAGAACTGACATCATGATCAACTGAAGTTATTGAAGAGGCCTAAATACATACGATCGCGTGAAAAACTGCAATTTAGAACTTTTGCTGACAAATTATCTTCATCACTGTTTATATTTACATTTGACATATTGTTAGCTTACTATTTCACCGACGTAATTTTTTCAAATACATTGTATCAACTACAAGAATAGTATTTATTGTCCGACCGAAGTCCATTTAGACTGCATAGAGATATTTTGTCCAGTAACACAATTAGACAACGATTTTAGCGGACATTCCTTTCAATCAGGCGTGGCTAGCAGCATTATAATTTCATTGTTCAAGAGTGATGGCATCGCTTGTCCGTATTAATTGCTATTTCAGATGTTTCGTTTCAGAAAGCGAAGTAACTATAAATTTAAAAGCTACAAAGACAGATATTTTCCGACAAGGTATTAATTTCATTGTTCAGGATTGATGACATCGCTTTTTCGTATAAATTGCTATTCCAGCTGCTGAGTGTAAGACGAAACCTATAAACGCAAAGCATAATGATTCGTTTTTCGTTGAAGAAATATCGGAAACCCAGTTTCCCGGAACTATTTTATAAGCAAGCTTAAAACAATACTCATGGCATTAGGATATTGTGAAAAGGATTATAGCGGACATTCCTTTCGATCAGGTGCGGCCACTAGCCCTAGTTCTAAAGGTATTGAGGACAGCATGATACAATCACTGGGACTTTGGAAATCAGATTGTTTTAAACGCTACAGTAGAACATTTAAATCGGATATTAAATCCGCGATCGGTTATGACTTTGTAACATGTCCTACATCCTAGCCTTGTGTCTTTTCTTTTCACGTTGATCTCAATATTGTGGTTAAGGATTTTTATATTGACATTAAT